TTATTATTATTATTATTATTATTATCATTATTATTTTAAATTTAATCTGCCATTAGCCTATCCTCTTGAGAATAATTGAAGATCAGAAATTCTCGTGTTTTCCTTCGCATTTGGATTTTTTTTCTTTTTCTTTTCCTTTTTTGCTTTCGTTTTTATGGTTTCCAGAATAAAAGACACCGATAAAACACTACAATAATATATATGTACACGATGCATGGTTTACTATCATTAATAACAAGACAATGTATGTCGCGATCGGGTGTTTTACCTGACCACTCGGAACTTGTTCCAGTCGTCGTCGTTGTCATCGTTGTCGTCGTCGTTGTCATCGTTGTTGTTGTCGACCAACGCGTAGAAGTTTCATTCCATTGATCAACTGGTCTATACTTCACTTTGAAGCCTCGCCCCTTACAGTCCGAACTTAAATAAGAGGAGTAAAAAATAATAGTGGYATGTGTCCAGGGTAAGAAAGTAATAGGTTTTGTAGGTATATTCCAGTTGCAGTAGTAGTTATCATTATCGTGATGGTCTGTAAATTTGATGTGCACATAATCGAAGTCGTTACAATCTTGGTCGCGCTTCTTTACAAAACAATTATAAAGATCCAATTCTACAAATTCAAGCCGCAGCTCTTTAGAAGTATATGGCATGAACCATTGATAATAAAGGCCAGCTGGATATGGCCCGGGGTAATTTKGGCTTCTAAATGAGCCTTTTGAAGACCAAAGATATATACCTGTAAAAGAAGAAGACAAATCAAAATGCTCACTCATTTTTCAGTTCTATTCAAAATCGACAATCAGTAAGTTATCAGTAAGTGGTATTATATTTTTATATATCTAATTTCTTCGTTATTCGAGTGATTTGTACACAAGTCCCTGGCCTAGGAAGAATTGGGGCAAGACCCGCCACTCCTCCTTGCAGTCATTTTGCAGTAAGTTTGTTATTATTGTTTGACATGGATGGTGTCCTTATATGTATAGATGTGGAAGTTTGGACGGGAAAGATGGAAATAGGATATGGTATGGCAATGGCAATAGTGATGAGAGGATATTGTGGAGCTTTGAATACAAATACAAGTGGCGAGGTTCTGAAACGAACACTTAKCATTTTGTTGGCAGGATGTAATAAATATAAAATCAATATGAATTTTTAAGACAGAACTTACGCTTGTWTCTTATTGCTTGGACATTCATTTGCATGTAGATGATTACTATTACTCCTGTAACTGCAAGTGATAAAAAAAAAAAAAAAAAATCGGATCAGTTGCTTGACAAGACTTACAGTCGGACAACTTGCTTTTAATCCATCACAGCGTTCCAATAATTAATAATTAAAAAATAAAAATATTATTTACATTAGAATTGTAGTTTAAAATATAAACCTATTAAAAATTATTTTTTATTATTATCCTGTCATTATGTAGTGTTTAAAAAACGAGGAGTGTTTTATCAGGTATAAAAGCGAACGAACTAGCAGTAACAGAGTTCCACGTTCTCTGTTCTATTTAAGTTTGTGTATGTGTGCAAGTATATATCTCTTCGTTTTATCACAGAAATGCTTCCATTTTCAAAATGTAGTAGTACTCAGTGCGTCATGACATATGATCTATTTTTGGCCGTTGAAGGCAATCACTCATGCAGTCACAAGGCTTTTCGTCRACTGATATCTTTTCTACCGGTCACTGTCACTATTACATTCATACCTATCAATAAAACTATATYRAAACCTCGATCTTGTATTTACAGTCGACGAATTATCTYTTAGCAAGTTTAGATGATTATTTACGAATATAAAAACGATGTGAGTGAATATAAAATAGCCTACTTACCTAAAACGTCACGCATTGTAGTCAACAAGTCGAGCTTTCGTTTCCTCATGCCTTGAATATGTCTTCTAATTTTTTTAAACTGAARAACCCTGTGTCAGTTAGTGATGTTATTTGGTTGTAATTTCGGTAGAGGTTTGATTTGGYATTTCAAATCTTCAAAAATGTTTAGTCTGGCGAACTTTAACTGAAGGTTTACTGAAACCGTKACTGATGTTCGGTAACTTCGATCACAACTTCGTATCGCAAACAGTGTACAAAATATCGAAACGATGAACCAACGGAAGAGTAAGGAAGATGTTTGTCATCCAMCATTATTCTTTTTAGACTTTCAGATAAAAACGACCAATATAAACAGGAAAAAATTACACACGTGACATAAACGTCACAGTGACGTCAGTAGAGATTTATTACTATAAACAACACAATAAAAGTCARTGATTATATGCAACATATCAGACCTTTTACTTCCACTGTTGATCAACCGTTTTGGATTACATACCTCACTKTTTCAATATGAACAAATAAGGCCATACACCGCTACATATTGATTGAMAGAACGAAAAGTCAATGAAGTAAGAATAAAAAAATAGGTCAACCACAAAGACGTTTTATCAAAGAACGTTTATTAAGAAACTGGAATATCAACCAGGTAGTAATTTTCATGTGTCATGTGATTAAACTGTTGCATTTATTTTTAAAATATACAGTGACATTTTTTCTTTTACGTTTGTGACTGACCAGCGTCACTTTTTTTATTTATTTATAATAAAACTTTATTTGCAAACAAATAATAATAGAAAAAAAGTTGCAAAAAGGGTGCYKMCAGGGAAGAACTGAATCCTCATATACGGCAGCCCCCACTAACTAACTAATCTCTTAAGAAGCTTTGTGCTTTTTTCGTAAAATGTTGAATTGCGACAATGGCGGGGATAAAGACAGGGATTGTTGAAACATTTTTCCCATTGCTAGTTTTTAATCATTCCCAAGGGAGCGAAATAACAAAACAAGCGGTGGCCATGTTGGTTGACATAAGAAAAGAATTCATTTTGACATTCAACCAAGATGGCGGCTATGACGTCATGTACAAACGAAGAATAAATTTGATATAKAAATACGAATATCTTTTTTCAAGAACTCAATATACACTTATTTCAATAAAGTTAGTCAACAAAAACCTAGAAAGCTGAGATCACTGAACATCATGGGAAGCTTTTCATATCAAAAAAGCATATATATGCAAAGCTTTTTTAATACAAACTGCAGCTCGATGATGCTCAGAAGAGGTGAGACTGTAACCGGTAAAAGATTCGCAAGTCCATGAACAGTTATCAAGCGGTTGAACGTGTAAAATGAATCTACCCATAATCCTGGTCGGCCTCAGCTTTATAGCTTTTCAGGTGACTAACTTTATTGAAACAATTGTATTCAATAAAGTTAGTCATCTAAAATGCTACAAAGCTGACACCGAAAAGAATTATGGGTAGATATTTTTTACATGTTTCAGCCCCTTGATAGCTGTTGATGGACTTGCACATCGTTTACCAGTTACAGTCCCTCCCCTTCTGGGCATCCTCAAGCTGCAGTTTGTATCGAAATTTGTTGGATATGAAAAGTTTCCCATGATGATCAGTGATCTCAGCTTTCTAGGTTTTTGGTGACTATCTTTATCGAAATAAGTATATATAAGTATATAGGAATCAGGGCATTACTATTCAAAGTCCTTTGCATATATTATATTATTAATGAAATCTAGTGTGATGATAATCCCTGTCTTCGGATTGATCCACGGCTGACTTAAAAACCCTCCGCATGAATAAGCCTGAAGCGAGATGACGTTTTACCCCCGACTCTATACCATAATAGTTTTTTAAATTCTTTCATATTAAAATTTTTGATTCCTTAGAGAATACAGGAACAATAGTCATAATTAAAGAACAAAAGCAATGTGAAAAGGATTATGGTCTAGAGACGGGGGTAAAACGTCATCTCGCTTCAGGCTTATTATTTGCCACTCCTTGCAAGTAATCGATCAAGCACACAACKTGTGCTTTGTTGAACTCCCGACCCACCCTTACAATCTGTGTTCGGTAATGACACTTTCTTCTTCAAAGTCGGGTTCTTTTRCGAGTTTTTATCTGGTAAACCACTACGTCCTTTTCGGAGAAGCATATATGAGTCTGCAAGCAGGATGGAGGCAAAAGCACACGAGCAACATGACACTTTGCGTCGTATTTCCATA